ATTTCTTTTTTAATCGTTGTGCTTTTGTTATTTATTGACATAGCTACGAGTTCCTAATTTTTTAACCCGGTGTTTGTTTTCATCACTTCGTCCCTGAGAGAAATCAATTTGTTTTAATGCAAAATTGTTTCCGAATCTGCTCAGGTTATACTTTGATCTAACCTTGCTTATACGTGAAAAAATTTAACTTAGATTATCCCCAGAAAAGAAGCAGCATTTGTTTGAAGTCACTTTGTCAGATTATATTGTGATAATTATGTTTGTGATTATTTGTAGCTCTTGAATTTATTTAACAATTTTTTTTCAGGTGATGGAACGTGAAAAAGAGCGTAAAGAGCGTGAGCAGGAACGAGCGGAGCGAGTTCAGAAGGTGAACGAGGAGCAGTGGCTACTCAGAAAGGAACGTGCGAAGAGACGTATTTCTCCATCCCCTTCCACTCAGTACCGGCGCCGTTAGAAATGGTCACTCATTCCGAGTTCAGTATCAATCGTATGAGTGTGTACATGTAATTTAGTACCTTTCAAATTTTTCCTGGAGAACTTCGTGGGCAAACGGAAAATTAATTCTTTAACAATTTTTCTATCAACATATTTGTAATTATTATCTAACCTGTTTGCCCCCGTCGTTATGGGAATATAGATAATTGTAGGCGTTTCATCGCAGGTGGGCCAAATTTATGTACGCTGATCATCAAGCGTAAGAAGAGTGACATCAAGACGCTCGTAGCACTTTTTCCATTTGATTGTCATCGCTCACAACAAAATGCACTGAAATGTAGTAGTTTGTTCTGAGGATACGGTTTAAGTTTCACAACAGTGTTGCAGATCAGATGAAACCTTATAGCTCTGACCTGACACTAACCGGTGGCTTCCAGTGGTTATCACTGTGTATTGTGTGTGATCAGTGCCCTGATTTTTCTGGGCTGTTTATTTGGAGGTTCGGTTCAGCATTCGGCAGCAGTTTTGATGTTATTTGGTAGAAAACCGGATGTGTATTGTTTCTGTTTCTGAGACTGGTTGATTTATATTTTTTCTCAATTCTGCGATAATATCATTGACCGGTGAATAAAATCGTTTTTCAATTCTGATATAAATCATAGACAACTCACAGACATCATGTCATCCCTTTAGAGACGTGAAGATATTAATATACAGATTTGCGCATGGAAACATGAGTTTGGAAAGTAATCGACTGAAAAGAGCAGCAGATCCTGGAAACTGTCGCAGCATTAAAAATAGAAACCTGGAAGATGAAGGCCAAAATAAACGGAAATCAGAGATCAGAAAAATACGATGTTAATTAAACGGCGTTAAAATGTGAGTACCTTCAAGCGGTATCTGGGCTTGATTTGTCGACAGGCAGGGATTGCAGCTATTAACGTAGGAGAAAAATCGAATCAGTTGTGATTAAGTTTGGAAGTGCTAAACTATCTTCTCTCAGTGTTGAAGTAATGCAATCTAAGTAGCATTGCCTCTGCGGGTTCTACCTCATAGCTTTGAAATTTCCTCCGTTGCCAAATAAGCGGCGTTTTGACGGCAGTATGCAAGATGCATTCTGGGATTAAAATGAGAAGTATACGTAGCAAAGGAAGAGATCATGCAACGAGGAAAGCTGTAGCATCAAACAAAATGATCGTGAACGAACGTATCCATGTGAAATTTCCTTGGACCGACTAATCGTGGAAAAAGTTAAGCGGGAAGCGACTATAAAATATGGACATACTTGATTAAACACTATCATTAAACTCCAGGCACAAACAACCGAGGAACAGCCTTTTTTGTGACAATTTCATCAAAACAATTAATCAAACTCGATCAAAGACTGATTCGCTGATCATCCTATAACAAATTAGTTAGCTTTATTAAAAACCAGCTTAATCATAGGACACTGCAAAATATACGTGAATAAAAAAGTTTTCGTGCACACAGAACACTCAAATTGGCAAACAAGACAAACTTCAATCAGGAACTGTGTCCTATCAAAAGTGATGCTAAAAACTGAGTTCAGACAGCAATCCAACGAGCCATTAAAAGACTAGCGGTATTTCATCACGTGGTAAAACCAAGCAAGATTGAATCTGGCCGATAATGCCAAAACAATATCAATATTACTAAATGTGAATAAATCCATGAACAACAGTGCAAGAATTTGAATGATTCCGACAAATTATAGAGCCGAAAACTTTCCTCAAAATCAAAGTCTAACACGTTGTTTAAACGCCTCCACCCGAACGTTCAGGAGTGATCACCAGATATTCGCCCAAGTATCGAGCTAGTCGATTTTGACTGATCGATCCTCCCTTGAGTCCGCTGTATAACTAAAACATAAGAGCATTAGACTTAATCAATCAATCATTAAATTTCACTGCTACAGTAGTTGGTGAGAACTATCTTCTAAAACACAGACGGGGATCATACCAGGTACTAAAAGGTTGTCCAGCAAACTTACTGCTGTTTGTTAGTTGCGCAGCGTTTGACTACTTTCAATTTTCTTGTAATTTTTTGACGCTCACGGTGACCTCAGACGGCCGAAACATTTCAGAAATACCGGAATTTTTAAACAAAAGTTCAAAAACCAACTGCGCCAACATTTGGACCAAGGACTTGATGCACAGCTATAATTAATAAATTTTTGATTTTTATGATTTCGGATGCACGTTGCAAGGGAACTGCTTAAAACGCAGGCAATTTTACCTGTTCATTATAGCCAATAAATCTGAAAGCACTGACGGTTTCTACACTACTGAAAATTCGTCGTGATGTAGTCAGGAAAGTTAGGGAAGTTAGGAAACGAAGCAAGTAGATTACCTACCATTTCAATGGGTTTGGGAAAGCTGTCCTCCCCTCTCCTCGTTTCCATTAGGAATCGAGGTATTCTACAACAGCTACTCATAAACTAATTGTGTGTTATTGCGTAACTCACGGTTCGCACACTTTCCCAGCATCTTCCCCATACTCAAATAAGCTGTCTCATACTTACAAGTAAAAATTCCCTGAGCTCGATTTCGCCATTTTTGTTGAGGTCCACGTCGTCCAATAATCCATGAAGTACTCCTTCGTCCAGTCTCTCATTTCGCTCCTGCAGATCATAACATAAACGCGTCGGGTAAAGGCAGAAAGCATAATCGCTAACTTACAGCAAAATAACGTCGCAGGTCGTTCATCG